GTCCCTATCTCACTGTGTGACCGTGGGCAAGACTCTCAACCTCTCTGGGCCTTGATATCTCCCACTATATCTCGCCCGACTTGGCCAGGTAGCATGGAGGACCCCACCGTCCCAATCAGAAATAGCTGCAGACCAGAGAGAAACAGAACCTTCCGCCCCTGACTTCCTGACTCCCAGTCGCTGGAAATTGACCCAGATGCATGCGCGGTGGCTGGACGTACCTTGGAGAAGCAAGGTCTTGGAGCTCTTTCAGCAAGTTCTGGTGTCGCAGGATTGAGAGGATCCGCTCATCTGCAAGGAAGGAGGGTGTTATGGGCCGAGGCCAGAGGGCAGCCGAGGGAGAGATTGCCATCGACAGTTTCCGCTGAGCACAGGGACTTCACTCTGGAAACTCAACGCCTGGGTGGCAGCGGCCAGATTGGGCCTTGCGATAACACTTTTGAATGACCCCCTCTCCCAGGTGCCGATCAGTCTTCTACCAGCAGAAAGGTCAGCCACTGTCCCGGCACCCCGACCCTGGCCCGGGGAGGGCAGGCCCGAGGGGGGTACCCACCTCCATGCCTGGGCTCGCGCTGGCCGATCCCCCCGAGTGCCCTTTCTTCATTTTTCTACCTATTGGTTTCCAACTTTTCTCTGAACTGCCAACCCCAGTGCTAATGTTGGCTCCGTCCAACAGCTGCTCAAAACTTGACTGCCTGCTTAGCAAAGCTTTCCCCTCACGCCCACCCGCAATGCTCCTTTTTTCATCACATATCTACAAGGTGTGTGCCAGGTGCCAGCAGCTGTTCTTGGCACGGGGGATACAGCACACAAAATCCTTGTCCGCAGGGAGCTCGAATTCTGATGGTTGCTGTTCCAGCCCTGGTTTCATTCTGCTCAGAGTCCTAACTGTGTTCCTATTTGTCCCTCTGCCCGTCTGTATGCTCCAGGAGTACAGGGCCTGGACTGCCTACCACTCAGACTACAGCACAGGCCTGGGCGAGGCTGGCACTATCAGGGACAGTTGAGTTAAATCACTGAATTCCATCAAGAGCCACACACCCCTGTCCTAGCCTTCCAGCCCAGCAGGCAGCAGCCCCTCCCCCCAGCCTGGCCCATACCTCCTCGGAGTGTCTCAAAGCACTCCTGGCTCACAGGCATGGGGCTGGGCTTGGAGAGCGTGTCAGAGATGACCTCCACGATGCACTTCATCACCTGGAAAGACAGTGGGGCGGCTGGGGTGGGTTGGGGCCTGGGACTCAGCCCCTAAGGCTCCGGGGCAGATTTCTAATGAGGACATAAGGGCATTTGCTCTTGTCTTCGAGAGTCCATGGCTGCCTGGCTCAGGGGCACAGCTCTGCCTTCTCAGACAACAATAGTCATGATAAGAGAAAACCCTTATATGGTACTTGGGCGCCAGGCACTCCATTCCCCAGGCCAGCAGGTGCCCCTCTAAGCGGGGTGGGTACCTGGGGCCTTCTCATCTCCAGGGGTTTCTCTAATGATGGGGAAGCTGCTCCCGGGCACCAGACATCTGTTCTGCAACAGCATCTCAGTCGTGCAGATGCCCAAACAACCAGCTATGTCCAGGGAGCCTTTCTGGACCACCCAGAGGAGAACAGAGACCTCCCCTGGCTCTACCCTGGCTGGAAACAGGACTTGGACAACTGTCCCTCAACATCCACAGTGCTGTCACATGCAGGGAGTGACAGCCTCACCGTCTGGCTCCACATTCACCCAGAGATGAGTCTGCTGGCTGGAGGTGGGCACACATTGGCTACCTCTGGTGTCCATCCCAGGCCAACAGCAGCCCTCTCTCTCTGAAAGGTGCTGTGGATAACTGGGCACCTGATAAATGCATAGTGGAGGATGGTACCAACTCTAGTGTGGTATCCTCGCTGTTACCTTGGGAACGACCTCTCTGAGCCTCAGTTTCCTCACTTGTGAAATGGGAGAGAGAAGAACCTCCCAACTCCCTTCCCAGGATGACAAGGCACCGACGGGAAAACACTCTATAAAGCGTGAAGTGCCACACACACACACACCCAGGGAGAGATACACAACTCCCAACCTGCTTCAGCTGGCTAGAGCGGGGGCGGTGGGGAGGGGGGGGGGGGCAGGAGGTGTCAGCCAGGCAATGCTGGTCGGGAGAGAGGGAGTGGAAGGCTGTGTCTACGGGTACCAAGGCAACCTGTCCAAGGATCCAGGGCAGCAGGCTGGCAAACAGGCTGTACAGCTGTCAGCATCCTGGGGATGGAACATTCAGGTCTTTATCAGCTGTTCTGGTGCCCCTGACCCCAGGCTCCTGAGTACAATACAGTGACCTCAATGTCTTCCGGGAGGGACCTGGCAAGGAGGGCCCTTCAGCCGGTGCCTTGCATGTCCCTGCAACCCCAGACCTTGCACTGGGAATAGCAGATAACCAGGAGATCGTGAGAACAGACTCTGAGAGAGAGAGAGACTGGGTCTGGATCCCAGGAACCATGGGGAGATTAAGAAGGGGAGCTCTAGAAATAACAGCGCCCATTTACTGAGGACCTACTGTGTGCCAGGTACCTCACCTCTGATTCCTCACAACTCCCCACAAAGGAAATATTATTACAGATGGGAAAGGATGTTAAGGGATTTCCCCAAAACCTCACAGCTACAATGAGTGGTAGAGGTAATACTGCAGGCCCGTCTGCCACTGAAGAACAGGAAACACGACT